AGGTTAATCGCTAGTCTTGTCTATAGTCTAGTCTTTAGTCAGTACTATTATCTAGTATATTGTATATCATCTGGACTTTTGCCTGGACTGGTGCCCACTATTGTCTAGTTCGTAATCTAGTCTATAGCCAATAATGTATTGCTGACTACCGTTGAGTCTGTAGTATCTTTTTACTCTTCATTAATCAATTCTTTCAAATCATTGATCTTAAGACACATATGACAGCGATTTAAATAATTACGCGCTAGATTTAATGCTCGACGACTCATTTTATTATTTTTCAAAAACAAACATCAAACCAAAAACAAAAAGGGAAGTTTTTTTTTCGAACCCAACTCATTACTAGTATTAGGGTGACTGCTATAAGCAATGTGTCGCCACAATTTAAATGAGTGTGAGTATTAAATCTGTGACACATATTTACATCAATTCCTATGACATTTTCGAAATATTAGAAGATGGTTTAAAACTATTAAGTTGTCAAAGTTGGAATACAAAACAAGATCTTTTCGTTTATTATTGTGTGAGTTTTTCCAAACAAGTGTATGTTGTTGAATATTTACTTATTAGTACATTTCTCAACCCTTTTATTATATTTATATTCTTTGTTAATAGTTTGTTGCTTTTTGTTTTATAATTATTGTAGTCGCTTAGTTGCAAATCTATTTTAGTGGGTCAAAGATTGCCACTTTAGGGCAGACTTGGGGTGTCTCCCCTTTTCTTTAAAATTTTTTATCATGTGTTGTATAAAGGAAAGGAAAGTCGCTGTTGAAATCAATGTAATTTATGGAAATGCAAATGAAGCTGTTTCTTTGTTTTGTTTTGAGGAATTAAAAAAATTACAAGTTTTTGATCAAAACTTTTAAATATATTAAGAAATAAAAAGTATATTATAATATAACTTTGCATATCCCTCGTGCTTTATAGGCTTTTCGACAGACAAACGGACATACATATTTCGAAATCGATAAATGTTTATGAGGACTAAATTCTCACTTTGTTACTCATCTCTTTTTGCAGTATAAACTACCATTGATTAGTTGGTGGCTTTTGAAATTCAGGTATGTTGGACATTCATTTCAGCTAGATTCTATATTTCTGGAATTCACATGCATATGTACACATGTACATATATCCAACACTATCAACAAGTCCATTGGAGCATTATATACCTATTAAAGACTATTTGGAAGTACATGGGGTTTAAAGCTCATAATGCGAAGAGGTTGATCAGGTCACAACCTAGGATTCTCTAGACAAGGTTCGCACTAACTTTGGTTTAAAAATCCTTTCAGACTTGGTCTATTGAAAAGTTACTGCTAATCAATTTTGATCCCAATTAGTAAATGGTGAAACTCAATCTTTCGGGCGGAACTATGCTGTCTTCATTTGACCCATTAAGTCCTCGAGTAGAAGGATAACGAGTTTAAGAATATTTATAATACCAAAAGTTAGTCAAGTCCTTATTGTCGTATGTTTCAATTTGTAATGAACTGAAGTGGCGACATTGAATGATTTAGGAAGACATTATCTGTTTGGCAGATAGTGGCTCTTATTGTTCATTTATAGGTCCAGAAATTTTCCCCGCAAGGATACAACCCCCTCCCCCCCCAAAAAAAAAAAATTTATTTCGCGGTATACCACAGGGTGGCATTTTGTCACCTTTACTCTGGGTTACCACGATTAATAGCCTCCTAAGGACCCTAACCGAGAAAGGACTTAGACCTGTCTGCTATGCAGACGATGTCGTAATACTTTTAAAGGGAAAGGATCCAAATTACTTGTGTAGAAGAGCTGAGAAGGCTCTGAATACGGCCTTGAGCTGGGCTCAACCGAGGGGCATCAATGTTAACCAGGCAAAAACGGAAATCTGTCTTTTCACAAGAAAGACAAAAATTTCTACGTATACTGAACATTGCTTCCTGGGCAAGAAGATACCAGTGACAGACAAAGTTAAGTACTTAGGTGTAATCCTCGACCGGAAATTAGGATCAAGAAGGATCAAGAAGGCACATCGGTGCTGGGCGATATGTAGGAGAACTATAGGTATGAAATGGGGTCTTAGTCCTACTATGACAAATTGGCTTTATAAAAGTGTAATTAGACAAATTCTAGCTTATGCTTCAATAATCTGGTGGACTGCTTTAGACAAAAAGTGCAATATCGAACTACTACAGGGAGTTCAGCGTACATGCTGCTTTGGTATAAGTGGTGCCATGTGTACTACTTCAACTAAGGCTCTGGAAACGTTGCTAGATATTCCACCCTTTGAAACATATTTAAGATATGAGGCGGCACGTACAGCCGAACAGCTCTTTACTTAAGGCGAACTGGCCAAAAGCGGTTATAGGACACGTCATCAATGTATACTGGACACATTGGAAGATTATATACAAACATCGGACGTGCTGATCGTATACCAGACACAGAATTTGTCGGAAACTTTGAAACGCTGATCCCAGATGAATGTCTTGGTCAAGCGGAACATTAGAGCAAATACCAGTAGGAATCCGTTGTTACACGGATGGCTCTAAATTAGGGGACAGAGTGGGGCTGGGGTTCTATATTGAAGACCCAGAAACAGAAATAAATATACCACCGTTTACCAAATCATAACAGGCAGAAGTACGAGCAATAACGGAATGCGTAAATTGGATTAGAATAAATATGGCGCCCACAGCGCTTAATATATTTACCGATAGCCAGAAGGCAATTAGGACGATATCAGGCGATAGCACTAAATCTAAGACCGTATTGGATTATAAAAAAGCTTTAACTGAATACTTTCCCAGATGGGTGAAAGAATCCCATAAAGCCTCTTGGAATAATGAAACAGTGTGTAGAACCACTATGAGGTGACCCTGATGAGAGCAAGACGAAAAATCTCCTCAAAATGAGTGGACACACAGGATTACGAGCGCATCTATGTGAAATTGGACGTGCGGACTCAGACGAATGCAGAGCATGTGGAGAGGACAGTGAAACTCTGGAGCACTTTCTTTGCCACTGCCAGGCATTCGTCGAAGTTAGATCCAAGTATCTTGGAAGTGATGTTATTCCGGGAGTAACATTTCTGACTAACACTGATTGGAAGATTCTTAGGAATTACGTTCAGGAAACTGAGTTTATGAACACTGAAAAACAATTCATTCAGTTCCCTTTGGTTTTTTTTCATGATAAGGAGCACACAACAGGGCCGATAGTGGCCTAGGCGTATATCTTCGGATTTGATGTAATATACATCCTCCTATCAACCACTTTAATCGAAATTCCACAGAAGTGATCTATGTCCATATCGGACATTGTTTTCGCTAGTTCATCAGGTGCACAATTGACCATTGAATCCACACCCACACTATTACGATTGCTAAATCTCTCGTCATCCTATTTAAGGATTCCCAGCATTCATGGACTAATTTTAATATAGAAATTTGATCACAGTTTGTCTATTTCTAAAGATATAAATATCTATGATACTCTGTACTTATCGTGGCTTTCCAATAAATTAAATTGAAGATTAACTTCTTCCTTCAGATTACTTACCCAAATATTTAAATGCACTTTGGTTGTACTAACTACCATTTAATGCGCACGTTTTATTAGTATAAATATCTTTAAAATCGTGATCATAAATTACTATAAAACGTTTTTATACATTTATTATAAGTCCCCTAAATAATAAGACCCTGAACAAAAAAAAAATCACAAAGAAATGCCGCTGTTTTTGGTTTTATGATGCCCTCCATACAAATTATTATTGGGTAAAGCTTAAGAGTTCAACAAATATAACTCTGTATAATCTTATCAAAATAAAGGAAACTACCATAAATAATCAAGTCAATCAAAATGCAAAATAATGGATTACAAAGCAATAATGATTGGAAAAAACATTATTATGATTTTTTTTTTATAAAAAAATATGTATATAGAGGGAAATTACCACAATAAAAGTAATGTGTGATATGGAAGCAGTTAGAAAGATAATAACTGATTAGTGGGGAACGTTTGGGTAAGAAGAGTAAGGCAGAGGCTTAAGCAAAGTTAAAAGGTCTTTAAGTTAAACTAATGAATATTAAAAAAAAAATTTTATTTAAAATATCTTTTTATTCTGGGATTTTTATAAAAAAAACCTAGTGGTTAGTGGCACTGTTAAGATAATTTACTGTAATCTAATGGAATTTGTTATTATAAATGGCAAAGGGGCGGAGCTTTAAAAGCAACAGGCATTTGTTAGAAAGCATAAGCCATAGTGGCTCTCTTGAGTACGAAAGAGATAAATATAGTGAGAGTGTTTGATAAACATAACGATGATGGTGGTGGTGATGGTTGCTATAGTTTATAAGGTTTCATTGCCATTTTGTTCCGTTATTATTCCAATTGGAAAGTTATATGTGGAAAGTGAAATAATCTCAGTTTTTAGTCTCAGTAAAGCACTTCATTGAAGAGCAGAGAGTTCTGGCTACTACAAAAGGATTGTTAAGGTGTTAGTGGTGGTGGTTTTGGCAAGTAGCAGAATCAGATTCAAATTGGAAAACCACCATATTGACTTTTCCAATTGTTTTATGGAAAGTAAAATAGCAACAATCTCTTGTTATTATTACTATTGTTGTTGTTGTTGTTGTGTTTTTATTCCTATATATATATAGTACTTATAAGAGTAACGGTATCACAGTTAACCATACTCTTTGATTTTTATGTTTACTATAGGAATGATAAGTCTATCTCTTTCTCTCTCTCTCTCTCTCTCTTTCTAAGGTTAAATATAACCCGTATATGTATATTTAGTAGTGGGTGCTTTTGGGCAGTATGAGTATTGTTGTTGTTATTATTGTTAGAGTGTATGTTCGTTTGGTTATAAATCCGTTATTTGGTGGTTGTTATCGCACCACAATTATCTAAGATTTTGAAACTGAAATTCTATATGGAATGAAACACTCGAATGATTGAATGAATGAATGAGTGTGCGAGTGTGTTTTAGTGCTTTCACAGTCTAATTTAAGACGTGTACGGTTAAACGTACGTTTTGTTAAACGGCAAATGAGCAAAAACGAAAACAATATAAACCTCAACTAATAAAAAACTGAGATCAAAATTTTGTCTAGATTTAAGATTTTTTTGAAATGTACAGAAATCCGTTACTCGTGCGCTTTGGTTTTATTCAAAAATTTACTCTCACTCGCACTCTTTTCTATATAAAAATAAAGAGTTTTTTACGAAATAAAGAGTTTGTTAAATGTTAACCTTTTAAACTTTATAAAAAAAATTAACTTGATTTCTTGTTTCCAATCTCTAAATGAGAAATCGCAACAATTGGAATTTACGGATTCGCATTGGGTGGGTACTCAACGTACACACACACACACACTCAAACAAATACACCACCCTCTTCTTCTAAACACTCTCTTCAACAACTCTCACTCATTAACATCCTCCTTAGCAAAAAAATATTATCAACAACTGACTGGGGGTAAACTATCACTGGTGGTGGTAGAGCTGCTGCTACTCAATAATAAAGATTGTGACCGTTAACACAATCTGGAAAATATACAACAACAACCAGAAAAAAAACAGCAAATCGAGTCTGGTAGTCAAGTGTTTCAAGACTCAGTCGAAAATCAGATTCATTTTGTTTGTGGCAGAGTGTTGCAGATGGTGGCCACTAGAGCAGTGATTAATTTTACAGTTAGTCCGCAACAAGATGCCAAACCAACAATAACCAAATAACAAAAAAGCTCTTAAAATATTCCCAAAAAAAAAAAAAAAAGATTTTAACTAAAATATAAAACAAATAGCGACGCGTGTGTTAAAAAAGTGCTAAAATTTTCTACATAAAAAAATTCTTAAAAAACCTAAAAATATTTTTTAAAAATAAAATGTTTTAAAAAGAATTTATAAAAAAAAGTTAAATTAAATCTCTTTATCAAAAGTGTTATTTATAAAAAATAAATATAAAATAAAACAAAAAAATTGCCCCCAACATGGATATTAAACCTTGTATAACAACCACCTCTACTACGTCTACTACACCAGCAGCAGCAGCAGCACAAACTCTTAATTCCTCTACATCTGCTAACAGCGCTTCTAATAGTATAACCACTTGTAATACTACCACAACACATTTACCTCTTGACTATAGTTTGGGTAATTTTAAACCCGCCGTTGCTTCCGATTTTCCGGGACCCTATGTTAGTTCCGCTCAACCTGCCATACAATTACGCGATATTAGTGTTTTAACTACAATGGCCGCTACTATACCCTCACCCACACAATTGTTGCAGCATCGTGGTCAACAACATCAAGCCCAAACAACGGCCACGGATAGTCATCATCAGCAGCAGCAACAACAACAGCAGCAGCAGGATTATCAACCTGTATCGGCATTTAAAGCCGTTTTACCGAAAAAGAAAACTACCGACGGTAAGTGTGGTGTGAAAAAAATTGAAAAAAAATTTCTAATTGGATTTTGAAAACAGAAAATACAAATTTGAAAACTGATTTCTAAAAAATTTTCAATTGGATTTTATTTAAAAAAAGTTTAAATTTTGTGAAATAACTTAATAAAAGGGAAACAGTTTTTGTTCTTTATAGCCGCCGGTTAAAGGTTTAAACTTGATTTGTTGTAAAAATGTTTATTCGGAAAGCTTTTGGAATCTAAAAATCTTAATTTAAACAATGTTCCGGATTTTTTTTTTTTTAAATTCGAAAGTGAAAATTAATTAATCAAAATGTTAAAATATTGTTTAACTTAAAAGTTTTGTGCTGAACTTTTTAAAGCTCTTTTTTGGTTATTAATTGTAATATGTTCTTTAAAGCTTGAAAATTTTTAAAATGTTAAAAGCTTGTTTAATTGGAAAGCTTTGTGCTAAATTTTTGTTTAAAAAATCTCAGAAATTAACAAAGTTAACATAAATCTATAAAATAATTTGTATGTTTAAAGCTTGTTTAAATAAAAAAGCTTTATATTCAACTTTAAACTCTTAAAACAATTTCTTAAACTGTGAATTTTTTTTAAAAAATACTCAGTATTTAAAGTAAAAGAAAGTTTAATAACATTAAGTAACACCTACGGTATAATACTTCCTAAACTTTTTATTAAAATCTCTCAAAAAGTGTTTGAAATCTGAGAGCTTTTAGTACCATCGACCAATTTACTGACTTTAGTCTTTAAAATGAACAAAATAAATCAATTTGGTAATAAACTACTATTGCAAACATAGCAAGTCTATTGAAATTTCCAAGCTTTACAAAACCATGACAATAAAACTTTAGAAAAATCATTTCTTTCTGTTTACTACCCTTGTAAACATATCAAATATCTTAAAATTTCGAAAATTGGCAAAATCTTAACAATAAAACTATAGAAAAATCATCTTCAGCCGTTAACTGCACTTGCAAACGTGGCAATTCTATTAAAATTTCTATAATTTTAGAAATCATAGTAAGATAACTATAGAAAAAATCATTATTTGCTGTTAATTACCCGTGCAAACGTTGTATATCTAAAACACGAAAGTTGGCAAAACGATAACAAGAAAACTTTTGAAAAAATCATTGATTTCATTTTACTACTTTTGCAAACATAGTAAATGTATTAATATTTACAAATGTTGTGAGTTCACGACGAGAAAGCTATAGTAAAATTATTATTTTCAGTTTACTATCCTTGCAAACATAGAAAATCTATTAAAATTTCGCAACTTTGCAAAATCATAAATATAAAACTTTAGAAAAATCATTATTTCCAGTTTACTACTCTTGCATACCTAGCAAATCTCTCAAAATTTCAGAACCTTAACTATAAATTTCAGAAAAACCATTATGTTAAGTTTACTACCCTTGCAAATGTAGCAAATCTATAAAATTTACAGTTCACTCTTGCAAATCGTTTAAAATGTTAAACATTTACAAAACCTCAACAGCAAAATGTGTAATACTACTAGTTTTTACATTTTGATAAGTTTGCAAGACTAAAAATTGTTTTAAATACATCTTTATTCGCACTTTTATACAACATTGCAGTAAAACTTAAAACCAAAAATCATTTTTAAATTTAAACTTGCAAAGCTTGTAAGTAAAGCAAATCTAACAAAAACGTATTATTTTAGGATTTTCTATCAATTAAACTCTAATTACAATAAATCACCCTGGTAAATCTTGCAGTGTAGTGTTGCAAATTTGGCAATCATTTCAAACTACAAGGCTGAAGTATATAAAACAGTTATTTACTACACTAGAGCTAACTTGCAACACTAAAAATCAGTCTTGCAAATATGTTAATTATAGTAAACCAACCTAGCAAACCTTTTAAATATAACAAAGTTGATAAAAATTCCTAAGAACAAGGCTGAAGTATATAAAACAGTTATTTACTACACTATAGCAAATTTGCAACACCAAAAATCAGTCTGGCAAATGAACAATATTGAAGTTATTGTAATGAATTATATTAAGATCATGTTCTGATGATTAAAATAGTTTCATAGTATATTTGCAAGAGTATGTTACTGCTTTAAAAACCCTTGCAAACTCTTCATTTAAATATACAATGTTTAAACTAAAGAAAAACAGTTTTTAAATCTATTTGGCTGAACGAACGATAAATATGAAGTCAAAAAAGTCACAAAAACATAAAGTGCTCTTCATAGTACATCTGCAAGTGTGGTTAAAGGTGCAACAATTCAATTATACAAAAAAAAACGTCTAAAACTTAAATGAAAATAAACACAAGATTTGTAATTAAGCACAACAGCAGATATCACTTTTTATAGAATATTTGCAAGAGTATCTTGCAACACTCAAAACCATTGCAAACAGGAATAGTAAATGTGCAACGTTTAAAGTATAGAAAAGTAGTTTAAAGTATAGAATAAAGTAAAAAAGTTATTAATTAATTACAAGAACAGAACATGGTAAATTTGCAAGGGTAGCAAATAAGCTAGACTTATGGGATTCTAATCTAAGATAATGTTTCAAATTAAACTATAAAAAATCTATTAAAAATTAACTATTTTGTGTTACAATTTCACATCCTTTACAAAACCATTTAGTAGGGAAAATACTGGTGAAAGGTGGTCGTTTGGTAGTATGTAATAAGAAGAGAAAACTCTTCTTTTCTCCATATTTTGTCAAAATTTCCCAGTATATCTATTAAAATGACTATTAGTTTTTATTTTTACAAAATTACATTTCAGTTTGCTTTAATTTTCAATAAAAAAGGAAACAAAAATTTCTGCTATAAAAACTCTACAAAAAGTAACAAAACAAACATACATACATACACACTTGTCACTTCAAATCAAAATTGTATTGTATAATAAAGAAAATATTCAACTTTCATTACAACCAAATATTTTCAACTACCTCCCTTCCCCACCCCCTTTACTGTAGCAAAAATCATACTGAAACATTCAGTGAAGAAAAAAAAAAAAAAAAACAATGAACCAAAAATTATTACAAAAGTAATCACATTTCAGGTTTTAAGCCAAAAACGCCAAAGAGATTTTTTTGTGTTGTTTTTGCCATACATACTCGTATGTCAGTATCAGATATCATCAAAATATATATAAAACTTTTGTTGGATTTTCAATTGTACAAAATGAAAAACAGCATGGAAAATAAAATAACAACAGCAACAAATACAAAGTGTCGGAAAATAAATCCATGTTAACATTTTAGTGAAAAGCTTTATGGAAAAACCTTCAACCTCTTCCCCCCCCCCTACACTATGCTATGGTTTTTGAAAACAAACAAAAAAATGCTGAAATCCATGAACAAAAGTAAACGTCACAAATATTTCAACACCATTTGTTGAACTACAACAGAAATCATTTTCACTATTTGTGTATCTGTAGGAAAAAACAAAGAGCAAAAACCGAAAAAAAGAAGATAAAAGTATAAAAGAAATGGCCAAAAAAAAAAAAAAAACATATGAAATTGAATATTGTGCGAATTTTTGTAGCTGTTTTTAGTATATGTATAACAGTGATATATTTACATTTTTATGTCCGTTAAACATGATTGTCTGGCTACATACATACTACTCTATACATAGATTATAGATTTTATACTCTAAGCCTTTTGGATAGAGAGAACTATAAGCGAGATATAGGCAATACTAGCGGCATTTTTTCTCATCTTGGAACTTTTACTTTTTGAAGGCACAATTTTTAAAAAGAAAATATTAGAAAATTTCTTCCTTTTTTATAGAGAATCTTCAAAAAATTCCTCCTTTTATAGAAAATTTTCGAAAATTTGTCTTACATTTACCCCAATCACTTCTTGGTTTCATATATTATCAATTCTATATTGAATCTTTTAAAACATATTCTGTACACGGACCTTTAAACAACAATACCCTGTACATACTTTTTTCAACATTACTCTCATATGTAAATCTTTTTTCCGCTTTTATTTCAACATGTACTGATATTCGTAAGTTTATTTATACACAAGTATGTATGTACTATGAGTGTGTATTTATAATATCTACATATTTTCCATATAAACCATGGATTTTTACAATCCCGACAAAATCCATTCGTATGTCCTTTTTTATGTCCACATGGGAGATTTGTGTTCATTTCACACAAACAGAATAATGAATAAATTTTTTTTTTGTTATTGGAGGGATTTTTTTTTGCAGCATTATGCATACATGTATTCGTACAGATACATGTGCATGTGTAAAACTACACTAAGGTCTGAAAAAAAAAAACACTAAAAATTTAGAAAGGACTTTTTTTAATTTTCTTCAAAAATTATAAAATTCACGTAAAATTCTCTTAAAAGGAGATTTTCTACAAAAAAAGAGAACTTTAATTAGGTTCTAGTTCAGTTCTAGTTCAGTTCTAGTTCAGTTCTAGTTCAGTTCTAGTTCAGTTCTAGTTCAGTTCTAGTTCAGTTCTAGTTCAGTTCAAGTTCAGTTCAAGTTCAGTTCTAGTTCAGTTCTAGTTCAGTTCTAGTTCAGTTCTAGTTCAGTTCTAGTTCTGTTCTAGTTTAGTTCAGTTCTAGTTTAGTTCAGTTCTAGTTCAGTTCTAGTTCAGTTCTAGTTCAGTTCTAGTTCAGTTCTAGTTCAGTTCTAGTTCAGTCCTAGTTCAGTTCTAGTTCAGTTCTAGTTCAATCTAGTTCAGTTCTAGTTCAGTTATAGTTCAGTTCTAGTTCAGTTCTAGTTCAGTTCTAGTTCAGTTCTAGTTCAGTTCTAGTTCAGTTCTAGTTCAGTTCTAGTTCAGTTCTAGTTCAGTTCTAGTTCAGTTCTAGTTCAGTTCTAGTTCAGTTCTAGTTCAGTTCTAGTTCAGTTCTAGTTCAGTTCTAGTTCAGTTCTAGTTCAGTTCTAGTTCAGTTCTAGTTCAGTTCTAGTTCAGTTCTAGTTCAGTTCTAGTTCAGTTCTAGTTCAGTTCTAGTTCAGTTCTAGTTCAGTT